GGGCTTTGCCCGGCAGTGGCAGGAGAGGAGAGAGAGAGGAGGCGTCCTCCACGGGCCACTAGGGTCCCTGCCCCCTAGGTCGCTTGCAGGTGGGGGAAGGTGGATGTTATTCCTGGGCGCACGGCCTTTCTTAGAGATGACTATGGATTTTCTTCAGGTGTCACTTGTTGGCCCAGCCCCAACACGTAGTACTTTCCGGCGACGTCGGTGCTCAAGGACGTTAAGACAACAACCGAAGCAACGGTTACTCATCTACTGGAGGAAAAAATTTACGTCGTGATGCACACGTTGAAAGCTAGCACATCCACGTACAGGCGTACTAGTGTAGCCAGAGTCAACCTGGCAACCTTGATCGAGTCGTGAAATCAACTATACTACTGTAATACACTTCACACACGCACACAGCTAGCGGCCAGCCCACCAGAAGCACAAGTCAGGGTACGTGCATATAAATAGTTGTACAAGCTTCCCTCAAAAAAATAACCTGAAATCTAAAAAGCGGCCGGCCACTAAATAGACAGAATGAGCGGCCGGCTCCTGGCCGCTCGATCCTGACCCAAATCGCCACACGCGTGGACCAGGTGCTACCTGGTCGGGTGCTCTCAACCACACAACGACTAGGATTTGTCGCTATCTATCCCTTCCGCAACCTTCGTCCCCGTCCCCCTTGCGTCGGCCGCCACCACCTCGCGCCGGCCGCCTCCAATCCTCTCGCGCCGGCCGCCTCCAATCCTCTCGCGCCGGCCGCCGCAACTAGGGGACGAGCGCCGCCGCTCGCGTACACACGGGATATGGTGGCCGCGTACCCACCGGTATCAGATTTGTTGAGGCTGGGTGGAGGGCAAAGGTTGCTCTGGACGAAGGAAGGGGGAAGGGAGCAGCGGGCGCCGTGAGTTCTAGGCGTGCTGCAGCGGTTGGGAGAGGAGGAAGAACGGGCTTGGATGTAGCAGGAGTGGCCGGAGGAGGCACGGATACAGGAGGGGGAAATGAGCTGGTCCTCGATCTGGAGCAAGACGACGGCTGCTAGAGAATGGAGACACCGGCCATGGAGCCGGAGCAGCGTGGCTAGCAGGTCGCTCGGGAGACGACGGCCGTGGAGCCAGAGCAGCAGCGCTGCAGGCTTGAATTCGTCAAACGAATACCCGTTCGTCCAAGTATTTGTGTTAACAACAGCCAAAAGCCCCGATAATGATTCCAATAATTTGCACTAGTACAAATTACTAGGAGTAGTTTATTAGTTGGCAGGAAGACTAGTTACACACACATTGATGTTTAGTTGGCTTATAATTTAATTTAGTTACACACACATTGATGTTCAGTTGGCAGGAGAACTAATTGCACACACGATGATGTTTGTTGGCTTGTAATGCAGTCTACTTGCACATGCAATAATGTTTGGTTGGCAGGAAAACTAGTTGCACACAGATATGCTCAGTTGACTTGTAATGTAGTCTAGTTGCACACACATTGATGTTTAGTTGGCAGGACTAGTTACACACACATATATTCAGTTGGCGCGGCAATGTAGTCTAGTTGCACACACATTGATGTTTAGTTGGCAAAACTATTGGCACACACATATGCTTAGTTGGCGTGACAATGTAGTCTCGTTGCATACACATTGATGTTTAGTTGGCAGGACTAGTTACACACATATACTCAGTTGGCGTGGTAATGTAGTCTAGTTACACACACATTAATGTTTATAGGTGAGACCCTCAAGATGCACATCTCACTAGCTGGATTGGATGGAAAGGGGTGCTAGCAACGAAAACTACACATCCACGGATATGAGGAAAGTTACACATGCACATCAACCGTTAGGTAGTTGGCTGGGAGGACAATTTTCGAAGTTGCACATCCATTGCTTGGCAATTGGCCGAGGTAGCAAACAGTAAAAAATGCACTTCCAACTAGAGGAGAAAAGTTGCACATCGACTACTAAGCGGTGGGCTGGGGGCAGCAGACATAGTTGCACATCTCACTTGATAGTGGGTAGTTTGAGGTGAGGTGTCATCATTGAAAACTGCACATCCATGGATAAAGAAAAATTTGCACATCGACTATTAGGTAGTTGCACATCAACAACTAGCCAGTTGCACAAAACGGGGACAAAATTGCACAAAAAAAAGTTTATCGAAACATATCCATATGGGATCAGTTTCGAAGAGCACATCGCGAGGATTTCAGCAGTGAAAGCGGATCTTAATTTCGACTTTTCGTTCAAAAGTTATGGCTTTTCTAAAAAATTTAAATCTGAATTAAATGCGTTCACACATGTTCGTCTGCATAGTTGCACATGAATTGCCGCGGGAGGTGCTCACGAATGGAGGTGGAGTTGCACATTTTCGGCGGCATAGTTGCACATGCATGGCCACAGAGTTGCACAATCTCGTCAGCATAGTCGCACATGAATTGCCGCGGGAGGTGCTCATGCATGGCCGTAGAGTTGCACACTCTCGTCGGCATAGTCGAACATGAACGACCACATAGTTTCACAATATTGTCGGCATAGTCGCACATGAATTGTTGTGGTAGGTTCTCATGCCCGGACACGGAGTTGCACACTCTCGTCGGCATAGTCGCACATGCATGGCCACATAGTTGCACAATCTCGTCCGCGTAGTTGCACATGAATTGTCGTGGGAGGTGCTCACACATGGCCGTGGAGTTGCATACTCTCGGCGGCATAGTTGCACATGCATGACCACAGAGTTGCACAATCTCGTCGGCATAGTCGCACATAAATTACCGCGGGAGGTTCTCACACATGACCGCGGAGTTGCACACTCTCGACGGCATAGCCGCACATGTGGACGAGTGTGCAACTCTCCAGCCGCGCTTGTGAGCTACTACATCAACGAGTGTGTACAGCTTTGCGACCGTGTGCAAGATCTACGCCAACGAGTGTGTGCAACTTTGTGGTCATGTGTGTACGACTATGCCGTCGCGCATGTGCAACTCCTGCAATTGTGTATGATACTATACCAACAAGAGTTTTTCACCACCTCAGCTACCCTTGCGAGTAAGATTTGCTACTTCATATGTTGCCCCGGCCAATTACATATCCAGTCGTGTGCAACTTTGCCTGCTGCTATGGCCAACCATGTACCAGTCGTTGTGAACTTCGTTGCCGCCCCGACCAATTGACTAACGGTCAATGTGTAACTTTTTTCCTATCCGTGCATGTCATGCGGCCTGCTTGTAGCATCGACGTGTTTCCAATTTACAGCAGTAGTTGGTTGAGCTTACAACATCGGGTGCGAGACGTCACCTAACGAACTTAGTATGGTTGTGTTGTGCAACTTTTCAATGCTCATATCCAATTGAAAACTACTATATGTGCAACTATAACTACTCCGAATGCCAACAAAAAAATTTGACTAAAAAATAGATCATCAATTTAAGCAAAAACATCGTCTAGCCAACTTAGTGCCGTTCTGTTGTGCAATTTTCCAGTAGTCATATCCAACTTATACTACTACCACAACCAACTTAGTACAACCATGTTCTACCAAAAAAACCTCCAACCTAAACAAAACTCCGGCAAGTCACACCTCATCGGAATCCCTCACGTATGTTAGCACCATCGAGAAAAAGCAGCATCACGAGCGCCTGTGGAGAGGCGTGCTTCTCAGCAACACGACATCCAGGTCGAGAGCCAATCCATCCGATCCCATTTTGCTCGTTGAGAAGATGTGCATGCTCCTGGACACCCACCTACCTAAGCAAGATTACATTGCATTGCAATGAAGTTGACAACCAAGTTTACACGTTTCCTGGAATAGAATGCATCACATGAAAATCAGCGACCGAACTGATGGAGTATGGAGCTGGAATCAGTTGACATAAGCGGCAAAAAGGGCCAGGTTTTCCAGGTTGATTCAATTGAGACCCTCATGGATCCCTGCATCGACTGAGTCATTGTTGCTGCGTATGTCTGGTGAAGTAAAACACATCGGGAAAATGGAAGGGAAGAAGACAAAAAAATCGAAGGGGAGAGGAGCCTTCCAGTCGAGGCACGCGAAGAGGTGATGGGGTCGTGAGCAGCGCAAAGGGAAGCTCCATGGCGTCGGGAAGGTACAAGAACCACAGCTTCTCCAGGTTGATTCGGTTGAGATCCTTAAGGATCCATGGGTATGCGTCCTGCAGCAGGAACACGAACAGAGTAACAAACATGAGGAGACCGCATCCAAATCGAACCGAATCGAAGGGAGAGAGAGGAGAGGAATGGGGAGGCACTTGATAGAGCTCCATGGCGTCGCGGATCCATGGAGAGGAGACCTTCATCGTGGGCGTCCATCGTCGGTCGGCCAGGCGCTCCGACCACAAACCCTAACCCTTATAGAGAAGTAGGAGGGGAACGCCATGGACAGCTAGGTCTGCGGCCTAGGTAGGGAGGAAGGCGAGGGGAGAGGGCGAGGATGGCGGCGGAGACGAGGCCGGCGGTGCGTGAGGGCGGCGGCCATGTCGCCGCGGTGGGTGGGGAGTGAATCACGGGAGAGGAAGACTGGACTGGGCGGCAGCTGAGGGGACAAAAAAGCACCTGACTCTAGTGGGCCGCTCGGCTCGGATAAATAGTGCGCACACACGATTTAGAATTTAGACCGGCCGCTCGGGACGGCTACCGAGCAGCCGGCCGCTCGCTAGACTTGCCCAAAAAATAATTGTACAAGCTAAGCTATACGCTACTTCTAGACTAACTCTAGCACTAGTCGGACAGATGCTCGTACACGAACCGGACACCACCAGCTGGAGGGTACGTTGTGATTATATAATTCCAACAACTTCGGTTGCGTGGGTTTGGAAAAATAGACTCTCGATCGCGACCAGAAACTCGGTGGTCACTTCGCCTTCTTCCTCCGCAAGAAAAGGAAAAGGAAAAGGAAAGTTGAGTCGGCTTCCTCTCCGGCCGTCCTCAGTACCGCCGATTAGCACGCGGTGGAGCCGGTGCGACGACTCTTTTCCCTTCGGCCGGTGATCTTCCTGCCTGTCACCAGATGGAGGAATGCAAGACGATGTCCATCTGTACCGCAGTTGCGGCTCAAGGGACACATGTGTTTGATATCATGGGTTACAGCAAGCATAGGGGCATGGGCAACGACGAAGACAGCCACATACTGTCTGGAATTTTCACTGTAGGCGGGTACGACTGGGCCATCCGCTTCTATCCTGATGGGCACGGCAGCGCATGCCCTAATCACATCACAGTTTTTCTCGAGCTTTTGAGCAATAGCGCAAAAGTCCGGGCGTCCTGCGACCTGAGGCTGGTGGACCAGTGCACCGGATTATCGTCTTCGGTGCATAAAACAGGGCCTAGGATTTTTAACTCTGACGATGTCAGTAAGTTTGCTCCACAATTTGCTGGTTTCAAAAGGCGAAGCGAGATTGAGGAATCTGCATACCTTCGGTTTGATCGCCTGACGATCGAATGTATCATCACTGTTTTCAAGAAGCCACATGTTACTCAAGCCAATCCGGTCCCCCAAATCCCCAAAATCGACATGCCACCATCTGACATGGCCGAGAATGTTGGCAGGCTGCTGGAAGAAAGAGAAGGGTTTGATGTCCGTTTCATTGTTGGAGGAGAGACCATTGAAGCTCATAGGTTTGTGCTCGCTATGCGGTCGCCTGTTCTTAAAGCTGAGCTCTATGGTCCGATGAGGGAGGCGAGGCCGGGGCAGTGCATTACCATCAAGGACATGCAGCCTGCCGTCTTCAGGGCCCTGCTCCATTTTATCTACACTGATTCTTTGCCTGGCCGTGAGGATCGTGAGGGAGATGATGATACTGAGATGGCCCGGCTTCTACTAGTGGCCGCGGACAGATATGCCATGGAGAGGCTCAAGATGATTTGCCAAAGCATTCTTTGCGAGAATCTGAATGCGGAAACCGTGTCAACCACATTGGCTTTAGCTGACCAACATAACTGCGTCAAGCTTAAGGATGCTTGCCTTGAATTTATCAAAATATCAAATGACAATGTGATGGATGCCGTGGTGGCAACCCAAGGCTTCAAGGATCTGAATGTCACTTGCCCATCTCTCATAGTGGAAGCATTGGAGAAGAGAAGGAAGTCTTGTCAGGCTTAAGCAGCTACATTAGTAGATTTGCTACCAATTTGTCGTAAGAATGATGAGCCTAGTGTTAGATGAATCTAAGAACAGCGTGGAAGTTGTCCTATAGCAACCGGCCGAAAACTCTTTCTTTTGTTTTTGGTTTATCGGCTTTGCTAACTATATTTGGAGCGCTTCTCTGCAACCACGTAACACTTGCTCTTTATCTTCTGCAAAAAAATTCCTTCCGTGTGTAACCTTTGTGGAGCATTTGATACCAGATGGTCTACATTAGCGTGCAATACCATTTGTTAACTTCTGGTCTTGGCAATGTCAGCATTTTGTGGAATAAAAACTCTTAGTATTTAGCAAGGTTGATAACCAAGTCTATAGGTGTTTCTTCACGTTTGAACCTTGTTATAGGACAACCGGAAGGCAAGGTTGATAACGAAGTCTATAACCAAGTCTATAGCAATGGAAGGCAAGGTTGTTTCTTGCCTTCCATATCTACCAAAGTAGGGAATAACACAATCTGTGTCCTGAGAGGAAGTGAGCCTCGTTAAAATGAAACGAAGAGTTTTCTCAAAAAAAAAATGAAACGAAGAGTGTACAGAAGTGCTGTTGGTGTTGAGTTCTTCAGTTTTAAGCCGCAAGTGAGACTTGAACTGGATTACTGGATAGTCCAAAAATAAATGAACTGATGAAAAACAACAACAATAGTCAGTGATTTTCCTGGATAAGAAGGAATCACATAGCCATCAAATCCAGCATTGGAGCTAGTTAGCAAGGCTAGGCGGAGATTTCAGTGCGAGAAGAGAAGGAGCTGAGTGGAGGGGCAGAGAGGGAGAAGCTCGGCGTGCCTTGCTCGCGCCAGGCGACGACCGCTAGTTCGCGCAAGATAGGGGAGCACCGTTGGACTCCTATCAATCCCCTCCCTCTCCCCTTTCTCCCCCGCCGCTCACTATGGCTCCCCAGCTTCTCAGCGCAGCTCGCCTCCTGCCGTAGCTTGTAGGTATGTCCACTTCCTCCACCGTTTAGAGCATCTTTAGCAGATCCAGTATACCTTGTCCCACAAAAATCGGTTTAAAAGATACCGCAAAACATTTTTTCGCATTTAGATATGACTTTGTTCCCGTAAAATATTTCGTTGTTCCGGTAAAATTGCGCAAATCCCTCTAAAAACGTGTGTTAAATTACAATTGGATCCGTCTCGACTACGACGGCGGCGGCGTGCGGCAGCTCACGGACGACGACGACGTGCGGCAGCTCGCATGCGGCGGCGGTGGCGGCTACCTAGCTCATTGGCTTGCAGCCTCGTGCATTACGCAACGCCTGCTAGCTAGCTAGCTCGCTCACGACGCAGCGCACGACAACATCAGCACTAGATCGCGGGCGACAGCGGGCGGTGGGCGGCAACGTGCAGCAGCTCGTGTGCGACGCCGGTGGCAAGATTTGGCCGGAATCAAGCTCGGGAAGCCCTGGCGCCTTCTGCGAGGAAAGCGGTTGGGCCTAAAATTTCCTGCCACCAAAGGAAAGGGGATCCTTCAAAACCAGGCGAAATCCCATATATATAAAGAAAATGGGCTCACAGATGCTGGATCCCAAAAATCCAGGACGACTGCATTTGAAGAATCTGTTCAGGCCGGAGATACGGAATGGATCCCACGAACCGGCGATTATTACAACAGACGGCCGAATTTGCGGGATCTGTTAGAGATGCTCTTACTACTCCATCTTCATGTTACGCTGGCAGAACGACGAAGCGACACCAGCCTCCCTGTCACTTCTCTACCCCGCATCGAGGAAAACGGGTCAGGAGCACTAAATGAACAAAACCTGCGACCCAAAACCCACAAACTGTTGAAATATAGGATGCGCTCTAGGTCCATATGGGCAACAAAAATGGGTCAAGATATTTCACAAAATATCTCAAATGGCCATGTGGGTGTCAAGACTAGGTGGCGGCAAGTTTAGTATCACCTCAAAATTATAAGAAGTTTTGGACCTTAAAAGGATCCTCTTTCACATGCTATTAAAATGTGATAAGCAATTCAAACAATTAAAAAAACTTAAAGAAGAGAAGTGGTTCCTGCGCGCTTCACACCTCCTCGGCCGCCAGCCTTGCCCCCGTGTGCGTTGTGTTCCGTGATTCAGCCGAACTGACCTATGTCATGCGCGCGCTTAACTTTTGCTGGTCAAGAACGGATAACGAGTTGACCATTAATTACCAGTCATTAGCGGAACACGCCTCGAATCTGAGACGTCGGATCATGAGCTATTGCCGACTCGGTTGTGGGTTTAGCCCACGTCTCCCTACCAGACCGCGCCTATATATTGAAGGAGTCGGCAACCCTAGCCTCACCTAGATCAGATCGCACCTGCTCTACCTCCTCATGCACTACCCATCGTCGTTCCGCTCACTGCTGCTGTTGTTGACGGTGATCCCATCCCTTCCATCGCGTGCACAACTGTATGAGAGAGCAGACCTGCAGAACCCCGCCATTTGCGATCCTGCACCGGAAGAAGGGCGATTTGGTTTTTGGGAGCGTCTTCGACGCGACTGCTCGCCGTTGTTCATCTTCGTCCGCTACTTCGACTACGTCACCGTCGCCTTTGTCATCACCATGCCCATCGAAGACGAGAAGAAGACCACCGAGGACGCCGCCGCTGCGGCTTCGATCTAGCCAACTGAAGGGTATAACTCACTTATCCCTCTGTTGTTGTTTTTTTGGTCTTGGAAGTACTATATATTTGTGCCATAGGTTTAGTGCGTGCTTACATGAGCAAATATCAGTACGGGTTTAATATTGTCAATGTCCTGCACATAATTTATTTTCAGATTAAATCAATTAAAAAATTGCTAATATACTCGACACAAACAACAATCTACTGATTCCATCCACACACGCGCTGAGATTCGACCAAAGAATCCGACGACCTGAAGCCAAATCGAAATCAGTCAACTGAAGTTTTGCAAAAATGTTAAAAAAAAAGTCTGATTTCTACAATGATATCGGGATTGATGTGTTCCTTTTATAAAAAAAATATTAAAATTGAAGAGGAAATGAAGGAAGAGGGAAGCGGTTCCAAAATATATCCACTTCGGTTGGATTTGGGGGAAGTAGACTCTCGTTGTCTCGAGAAGACCGGAAACCCCAGGTCCCTCTATGGTCACTCCGGCTTCTTCCTCCAAAAAAAAACACACAGAAAAAGGAAAGTTGAGAGGCTTCCTCTCTGGCCGTCCTCACTATCGCCGCCGCCGCCGCCATCTACAGTAAACCTGGGCAAACGTCGGGCCGGGCTTGTAAAAGTCTGAACTTCATTTCTTAAGCCCGAGCCCGGCCCGAAGCCCGAAATACTCCCTGATTTCAAGTCCGAACCCGGCCCGAAAGCCCGGCCCGAAAAATAGAAAAAGAGAAGCCCGAGCCCGGCCCGAACTACCTTTCGAGCTGCAAAACAAAGCCCGAGCCCGGCCTGAGTGTCAACCCCGGCCCGGGTTTTTCGGGCCGGGTCGTCGGGCCGGGCTGCCCATGCCCGGGTTTAATCTACGGTCACCAGCTGAGATCTGGAGGTTCGATCTACTCCCCCGCATCCTGAATCTTTTTCCTTCTGCTTTCCATCGGGGATTAATGCGCTTTTCTTTCACACCGATCAGATTTGCACGTGTCGGCTCCGTCGCGACGATTCTTTCTCCTCTGGCCAGCAATCTTGTCGCCGGTCACCAGGGACCAGATGGAGGCATGCAAGACGGTGTCCGCGTGCACCGCCGGGGTGGCTCAAGGCACACATGTGTTTGATATATTGGGTTACAGCAAGCTCAAGGGCATGGGAAACGACCCCTAGTGCTTCATACCGTCCGGCATTTTCACTGTCGGCGGCCACGACTGGGCCATCCGCTTCTACCCAGATGGGTTCGAAAAAGAAAGCCAAGGTTACATCTCAATTTGTCTCGTGCTTCTGAGCAAGAGCACTAAAGTCTGGGCGTCCTGCGATCTGAGGCTAGTGGACCACTTCACAGTGTTATCATCTTCAGTGCACAAAACAGAGCCTAGGATTTTCAACTCCGATGACATCACTAAGTTTGCTCCACAGACTTCTCAGTTCAAGAGGCGAAACGACATCGAGGGATCTGCGTACCTTAGGGATGATCACCTGAAGATCGAATGCATCATCACTGTCTTTGAGAAGCCACATGTTACCGATACCAAATTGGGGCTCCGCAAGATCGACATGCCACCATCTGACATGACTGAACATGTTGGCAGGCTGTTGGAAGAAAAGGAGGGATTCGATGTCAGTTTCAGTGTTGGAGGAGAGACCATTGAAGCACATAGGCTCGTTCTTGCTATGCGGTCGCCCGTTCTGAAGGCAGAGCTCTATGGGCCGATGCGGGAGGCCAAGCCGGGGCAGTGCATAACCATCAAGGACATGCAACCTGCTGTTTTCAGGGCCCTGCTCCACTTCATCTATACCAATTCTTTGCCTGGTGGCGAGGATGAGGATACTGAGATGGCCCGGCTTTTACTGGTGGCTGCTGACAGATATGCCATGGAGAGGCTCAAGCTGGTTTTCCAGAGCATTCTTTGCAAGGATCTGAATGTGGACATTGTGGCAACCACATTGGCTTTAGCTGATCAACATAACTGCGATGAGCTTAAGGATGCTCGCCTTGAATTTATTTAAATATCAGATACCAATGCTACGGATGTTCTTGTGGCAACCCAAGGCTTCAAGGATCTGAAAGAGACTTGCCCATCTCTCATAGTGGACGCATTAGAGAGGAGAAGGAAGTTTCTTAAGGCATGAGCAGCTACATTAGTAGATTTGCTACCAATTTGTCGTAGGACTCCATGTTAGATGAATCTAAGAATGGTTAGGTTAAGTATCATGTCATATT